CAGGACTGTGCAAACAAAACTGCCAGGCTAAACTTTCGTTGGCAGGTCCAGCGATATGTCTATATTTGAAAAAGAACCCCCCCCCCCCAAAAAAAGGCTTTGGTCCAAAAAGTAACTTCTCCATAGGTCTAAACAGACACACATCAACTTCCTTCGTGAATAGATGGAATGGTATATTCTTCAAACTACCTTATTTTTGTAATGGCATTCTTCCTATCGGCATTTGCGTCAAAGTTTTTCGCGAAACTAACGAGCTCCTCGTGAGCTTTGTCCTTGTGTTGTCTGTTACTTTGCACTTAATTTTCAAAACGCATTGATGATTTTTGTATAACAATAATTCAATGAAGTCGAAAACGTGTCTCTTGACCACGCAGCCATTTTCTTTCATCAAGACACTTACTAACTTAGCATACTGACCCCATGGAAAATTCAGGCGAGGACAGATCTGAATTCAGACAGGCCTTGTTCAGTCCTTGCACAGGCCGAGGATGTGTTTTGATTTCGGTCTGGAGGTTGGAGGTCGGCCCAGTCCGATTGAGGTTGAGATTTGAGGACGGCCTGTGTCATGTGTGGTCCACTTAGCCTAAACTCGAAACTATCATGACACTTTAAAAAATATCAAAACAGAAAACACTAGGTGTGTAGCAAGTTCGTGATGAGGTGTTTATCTGTACCAAAGTTCTCAAACTAGATCCACATCTAACCTGTGGGACAACTCCATAATCGGGCATTTACCATATCGTTGTATCATACATTTACAGCGATTACTGGCGAAATAGATGTGCAAACTATTTGCCACATTGAATTTAATCATTGAACCGAATAATCCCATCAGATATATTCTTCGAAAAAAATGTTATTTGAGTTTGACTTCGATTTCCAACACGTCGTAGAACCATTATTTTGCGTTTTAGAAAGTGTGGTAGCTTGTAACTGAAGAGGTTTGTAAGTATCGTCGAGTCGAATAAAGCGTCAACTTCAACTGAAGTAGCTGCTCGTTTTCTCTATGCATGATAAAGTATCCTTATTCTACACCCACATGACTGCCATGATGACAGTAGAAAAAAAGGACAACATTTTTATAGACCTTGATAATTTGAGAGTTTTTCATCTGAAGAGCGTTCATTCGTAGTTTTCAAACAGATAACTTTTCCCTGAGTCATACCCACGAGTGGTCCTTTGAAATTCGATTTTGGTTTAACATAATTTTCTCTTGCAATCCTATGAACTTCAAACAAATTAATTTGTAAACAAGAGGACATATATTTTCGAATATTTATCATTTCCTTATAGACCGCAGTGCTTGTTAATCTGCTTTAACAGTCATTGCCAATTTTGCAATCAGAAAGTGGCTGGAATTCCCGTACAGCACACCTTCACCGGACATTAAACTTTATTATATAAATACCTTTTATTTATCAGCTGATCTCCACCCCCCCCCCCCACACACACACCAAAGTTACCAATTTGTCAGGTTGGCAAGCAACAGAGCCCCCCCCCCCAAAAAAAAAAATGTTTTTTTTTTTTAAATTTAAAAATCCCACCCTTACCACACACATACACTTTAAAAAGTAATTTTTTAAAAAATGTCTTGAAACAAAACTAAATGAACTCGACATGCCGCTCCCGACTTATCACACTTATCAGTGTTCATAACTGATAACAGACCATGGATTTACGCTATTAGGCTAGATGCACAACGCCTCTCTCTCGTCTTGCTGCGCGATGGCCCCATTCGATAGCGGCGTCCGCCATATTGGAGTCGGCCAGCTGTGTGAAGGAGTTCATGCTAAAGCAATGGGCTGGGCATGTTTTCTCTCTCTCATACGCAATACGCGAGGCTTGGCTCTTGTTGATTTTTTTATTTTTACATGGACGCCGTGGCGTTCTATATCTAGATATCTACATGTAGATTACTAAAAGGAAATAACACAGCGCACTTTCTACAACCAGATCTACAAATAAATGTATTAAGGAGGAGCTACAGCTGAAGGTTATCTCGCTTATTATTAGCAGATCAAATGTTACCAAATTTCACACATATAACAAACATAGTAAAGAGTTTTAAAATCAGCAATCACATTTGAGAAAAAATGTTTCATTTCCATGGATACGGCGGCCATGTTGGATTTTGTTGACATGTCTTACATAATTAATACCGCACTTATTTTTCATCAAAATAAATTGTTGGGGTTTTTTTTGCACGCGTCTTAGGAAACAATAGTTCTACAAATGTGTGTGGTGCCTTTTTTCCTAAACGTACTAGAAGCATTTTTATGAATTTTTCCTGAGATAGTATTCACGTTAGCAAAAAAAAACACGTGAAAATCCATATTGCAAACACCACCAACAAAAGACTATTCCCTACAATTCATCACACAGATGTTTAGTATTACATCTTTCCATCATTTTGTGAACATTTCTTGAAGAATGGTGGAGTAATTTTTAAAAGTATATAAAAAAGCATGTTTCGAGAAAACGGGCAACAGAACAAATAAAAGATTGTCTTTATGAAGAAATGGTTGTGACAAACATGCCCGATATGGGAAGAAATAAAGCTTTAGGGGATTTTTATGAAAAGAAATTTACAGTTGTAAGAGAGGCTGAAGAAGCTAAAATGCCTACAACTTAAAATCCATAGTTTTGAGTCGAATCGGGACTTTTGAGGTGTACCCCCCCTCCCCCCACCCCCTAATAGATAGAGACACATAAGCTTTAAAAACAAAACAAAAAGAAACTCCCACAAAACAACTTATTTTCCATCAGCGCTTTATCTACGGGGCGGTTTATTTCTTATTGACCGAATCAAAGTGTCCTGGGCCTATAGTATAGTACCTTTAAGAAGAAGTATGAAAAGATACTAGTGTCAATGGAACCTCCCAACCACCTACCCTCTCTCTCCTCCCGCATCCCAATTCCACCCCACCCCACCCCCAACCCCACCCCATATATATGAGTTTAAATCAAGAATAGCCACAGAAAAAAAAATCCATAGAGAGTTCACACTCACAGAGTGAGTATGAGTAAGTCTTGAGATAAGTATGAAGATTAAGGCAGACGTGTGTGTAATGAATGTTTGTCCAAATTGACAGGACACTGACAATAAAAAGAAGATAACTCTATGTTACAGGCACTTTTGTTATTCAACGTTTGATAATAAACTGATATTGGGGCGTGATATCTCGATTTAGATGCCTTCAAAAATCCATAGAACCCTGTCATCAGTCTGCTGAAACCGACCTAAGATCTTAGGCAATAGGACTCGCAACCGTAAGGTCACAAGTTCGAATCCCGGCAAGGACCCGATGTTGTGTCCTTGGAAAGGTACTTTACACGAACTTTCCTCACTTCACTCAGGTTGGAATAGGTACCCGGCTATAGACAGCGAAAGATCTGTTAGTTTTTGAGCATGTGTAATCCGCACCTTGCGTTGTATGCTTTCGCAGAAGCTGAGAATGTTTCTCAGTCGCGTTCAAGGGTTTGCTGGGGTAATAATAGCAGTAATGCACATAGGGCATTTGCCTGGATTTGCGCTATATCAACGCAATGATAAAATTATAATAATACTACTACTAATACTACTACTAATAATAATAGTAATACTACTACTACTACTACTACTACTACTACTACTACTACTACTACTACTACTACTACTACTACTACTACTACTACTACTACTACTACTACTACTACTACTACTACTACTACTACTACTACTACTACTACTACTACTACTAAAATAATAATAATAATAATAATAATAATAATAATAATAATAATGATAATAATAATAAGAATTATTATTATTGTTGTTGTTATTATTATTGTTACTGTTATTGATATCATCATCATCATCATCATCATCATCATCATCATCATCATCATCATCATCATCATCATCATCATCATCATCATCATCATCATCATCATCATCATCATCATCATTAGTTCAAGTATCTTCCTCAGTAAGATAAAAAAAATAGCACCACACTCTACAAATACGACTTTATTGCGCTTACCAAAGAACAAAGTAAAGCGTTACACTAATATAAACATTGTGCAGGTGATAACTAGTCGTATATCGTCGGTATCCGACTTTGGCCGCATATAAACCAAATTAATAAATCAATCACCTTTTTCCTGTTAGTTTATGTTATTCAAACACGTAGATCTAATTGAAATTGGTAGTACTATAATAATGTAAAATGAAAACAATAAACTCAAGTATTTTAGGGATTCTGGTGGACAATAAAACAGAAAAATGAGCTTCTCTTTTTAATTTTTGTTTTTTAAATCAGTATTCAATCACATAAGCGGTTGCAGTCGGCGGACATCACGGTGCAACAATAGACCTATTTATGACACATTTGTTCGCAGTCGGTAGGTGGTGACCTGTCACAATAGATAGGAAGACAGCGTTTGCACTATGTTGGTCTATATGAGCCTTCATTTTTAAAAAAATAATATTTTCAACACTTTCAGCTAAGCCTTATTTCAGTGCAGCGTTGGACCTAGATTGTAGGCAGTTGGTATTTTTTGTCGTTGCTCTTAGGCAAGTAGTTAGCCACAAACAATACAATGTTGGGGCGTGCTACGGATTTTGTGATGTTTTTGACGGTTGTGACGTCATCACTTGTGTCCTGTGCACCGCCCGGTGACCAGATAAAGCACCTTCCTGGTCTCGCACAGCTGCCAAAGTTTAAACAGTACTCCGGCTTTCTCGATGGTTTGGGGACCAAAAAATTGCATTATTGGTGAGTTGTATAGACTTTCAAAAAAAAGACCATTTAGGGGGTGGGCTTCCACCCTGCTTATCAGGGCCAAACCTGAATCAACCAGAAAGATCAAAATGCTCGATGAAGATTCTATTCACACGTGAATCGAACTCGGGTCCCCTACATGTGACGTCAAAGCGCTGGAGTTTTATTTAAAACAAATAAAACGAAATAAAGGGCATCTTTTAATTCAAGAATATTAAATTCGAATGTAACAGAAAGCTTTAGTTTAAGTATAGAGATGCACATAGATACAATAAAGGTCATTAATATTATAACTGTTATGTTTTAGTTCTAATAATAATAATAGGTAGCATTTGTATAGCCAATATCCCCGCTCAGCAGCAGGCTCTATGCGCTTTACACTATATTATTACCCCAGCAGACCATAGAACACTCCGAAACATTCTCAGCTTCCCTGGAAGCATACAGTGCAAGCAGCCGATTAAGCGCTCAAACACTAACAAACTGACAAGATCTTTCGCTGTCTATAGCCGGGTACCCATTCCCACCTGGGTGAAGTGAGGAAAATTCGTGTAAAGTGCCTTTCCCAAGGACACAACGTCGGGCCCTTGACGGGATTCGAACCCACGACCTTACGGTTGCGGGTCCGAGAGCCTAACCACTAGGCACCCCACTGTCATAAAAAAACAGGCCTTCTCCAGTTTTATATTTGGTTACGTGACCAAAGAGCAGAACAATTTGCAAGTTCATTTATTGCAATCATTTAACGCCACCATGGGCACACGTGCGTGTGGTTAGAGGACGCCACTGGTTGTGGTAGGTCATATTCCTTTTCTTTCCCAATGTTGTTTCTGTCTATCTGTCTTCCTCTTTTCTCTGCACTTAATGGCAGTTATTGTGTAGATATGCTTTGCTTTAATAAAACAAACAAAATAAATCATCAACATCATTAGAATGGTCCTCAGATTGTCCACAGCAGTTGTGACGCGAGGGGAAGCTATGTGTTTTTTGTTTGGTTTGTTTTAGTGACATTTTTATGACCCTTGCAATACACATATTAAGAAATTTAAGTGGCAACAAGTAGATGTGTCCAACCCCAAAACCACATAGTTTTAAAAATTGTTTTTTAACTCTGTTTTTTGCAATCAGTGATGCTTATATTTTATTATTATTCAAACCAATAGGAGTGGCTTACACTGCTCCTCGCGTCTTTTGCATGTAAGTTATGTACTAATATATAGAGCGTTGTTTATTATGATGATCCATGAAGATTCTTACAGGTATCTAATAAAGACAAAACGTCATGACAACATCAGACCAAGGCACATTCTTGTTGCAACATCGACTCCGATCTCCCCTCACAATAACGTTGCATCTCATTAGACGAGTTATAAAGTAAGAGCAGAAATTCCTTACAATTTTACTTGTCATATAATCAGGAGATCGAGGAGCTGTGACGAAAGCTACATTTGTTGGCCTACGTCTACACTCAGGCTTCGAACTCAATTATTTTTCACAAAGCCTAACATTTACATCATCGATAAAAATGAATCTCCCCATACACCAGTGTAACGACACGTACCGTCGCATGGAGAAGATGTATTCTGGGGAGAGGTTTTCATCAAGCGTCTCTTTCTGTCTGCAGGGATGTTGTTTCCCCTGAAACCCGGGTTGGCCCTGAAAGGCAGGGCGGTTCTTTAACTTTTTAAAGTCGTAATAGCCACATCTGACCACCAGACCAAAAGCCGTTATTCTTCTGTGTGTCGTAGCTTGTCTTTTTAAATTTCACATATTATGGAAAACCGATTTACAACATCTGAAAGAACGTTTCCTTTTTAAATGCCCTAAAGGTTTGGCATAACAGAGCGACTTTAAGTGATGTTGAATGGAGCGTCCTCAATGAGTGTCAACTTTTTTCTTAAACCCTCAGGTTTGTGGAGTCTCAGAATGACCCGGCTAACGACCCACTTGTGCTGTGGCTTAATGGAGGTCCCGGCTGTAGCTCTCTGATTGGTCTGCTCACGGAGAACGGTCCGTTTACCGTACAGCCGGACGGCAAAACGCTACAGCCAAACCCTTTCAGCTGAAACACTTTGACCAATGTTCTCTACCTAGAGGCCCCAGCCGGGGTGGGCTACTCTTACTCCAAGGACAAAAACTATACCACAAACGACGACGACACTTCTTTGAATAACCTGGTGGCCATGATCGGTTTCTTCAAGAAGTTCCCGGAATACCACAAGAACGATTTTTATATCACTGGTGAGAGTTATGGAGGAATCTACGTGCCAACATTGGCGTATAGAGTGGCTTTGAACCAATCCATGAATCTAAAAGGATTTGCAGTTGGCAACGGGGTTACTGATAACAGGATGGACTTTAATTCATATGTTCATCTCACCTACTACCATGGTATGGTAGGGCCTGCACTTTGGGACGAGGCTCTGCAAGATTGCTGCCATGGTGTTCCTATCGACAAGTGTGATTTTTACGAACAAATTAGCAACCTAACCTGTTGCAAAGTCGTCAATGCAATTTACAATACACTATACAACTCAGGGATAAACCCGTATAACGTTTATGCTGAGTGCGCGGGTGGCGTGACACAAATGAACCAGCTAATCAGAAAGTCGAAACCGGCATGGTGGCCACTCTTCGGCCAGACGGACGGTTATAAAGTCGACAATGACATATTTTGCGAGAACGACACAGCACTAATTACCTACATGAACACGCTTGACGTGCGGGAAGCGCTTTATATCCCGTCAACTCTTCCAGATTGGGATGTTTGCAGTGACTTGAAATACACGACCATCTACAAAACAATGGCGACCTTCTACAAGAAGCTGACTGTCTCCGGTGAGTTTCGCGTCATGGTATACAACGGAGACGCTGATATGATGTGCAACTATCTCGGAGACGAGTGGTTTGTGGACTCGCTGGGTCTCGGCAGAGTCGGTTATCGGAAGCGTTGGTTGTACACTGCGGCGGACGGCACACAACAGGCCGGTGGCTTTAGACAGGACTACAAATCTAACGTCCGTTATCTCACTGTGCTGGGCGCAGGTCATATGGTAGCAACAGACCGACCAAGGAAGGCCCTGGAAATGTTTGCAAGCTATATAAAAAATAACTGAATTCGTTTTTTGATATCTTTGTCCGTCTTGGGCAGACGGTGCAAAAAGCCGAGGTCAATCGACTGTCAAATCAATAATATTCTTGCATTACGTCGGCAAGCTATTTAATTGTTTTAAACCCAAAAATATGAAATAAAAAAAATATTGCAGTTTTATGAATTAATTCTATGGTATTGTTTGCATGTGCTTGAGAAGCGTTTTCTTAAAATTCGGACTCTAAATGTTGAAAAAAAAAAACCCTAAGAAAATTCACATAGTGTAGGGGTACAATTCTTAAAGTAAGAAACAGTTTTAATCTCTCTCCTGAAAAAAAAAAGTTGCTTTCATGGCTTAGAACGATTGAATAGCTTTCTTATAAATTAGCTTTCCAAACACGAAAATCACCAGTGTGCTATTAATAATAATAATAATAATAATAATAATAATAATAATGATGATGATAATAATAATAATAATAATAATAATAATAATAATAATAATAATAATAATAATAATAATAATAATAATTTTTAATAATAATAATAATAATAAGAAGAAGAAGAAGAAGAAGAAAAAGAAGAAGAAGAAGAAGTATTTTAAATGTAACAAATTACAAGATCTGTTCTCTGTCGTTGATCCCAACAGAATTCTCGATTTTGTTGAGGCCATTGGTTTTTACGGTGCTTTGTAAAAACAGTTATTTTGATTTTAATCAGGTTATCATTTTTAAATTGCTATTTTACCTTACGTTTTTAGCATTTAAAATTAGAGAGTTGACCTGGGCCAAATCGTGCAGTGAACTGTTGTGAATGCTACCAACTTGTTGTTTCGCTCTCATATTACCTTATGCAGTTGCGAGCACCGCAAAACTCTTACTCTTGTTTTTGTACATGTTTTACGGTGCTTGCAACTGCATAAGGTAATGAGCGCGGAACACTTAAAGCATCTTCGGTTTCGTAGGAATTAGTTTAAAATTTTGCCCGTGTGGCGGCCGAAGCCTACTCTTATCAATTTTTGACCACCAAAGGAATTTTTGTCGTGTGCAACCTGCATCCGGGAAGATTTTTGGCCCTTATCCGAGAAGGCTAGGTGTTAGATCTTACCTACCCTAAGGTCAGGGGTGTGGCTGAGAGAAAGCAGTAAGAAGGAGCTAGTGAGTAATATGTTGCAGAGAATAAAAACATTGAGAATAGACAGGTAGATGGATAGATAGAAGATAGCTAGATAGATAGATAGATAGATAGATAGATAGATAGATAGATAGATAGATAGATAGATAGATAGATAGATAGATAGATAGATAGATAGATAAGGGGAGAGACAGCAAAGAGAAAGATATAAATGTATCCACAGGCAGAAGTTTGTGTGACCCTTGGGTTCTTCTCCGACTTTGGTTTACAATCTCTTTCTTAGCGTCTGGGCACAGTGGAGTCGCTTTCACCTCACCTTCCCCTCATCAGCATCAAACAGTCACCTGTTTGCCAACGCTGAATTTTAATTCGTGCAACTACAGTAGCACGCGACAGAAAGGAGGCTCTCCCCGCACCATCACGAACCGCGCACCAAAAATAGTCGGACTTGCTAACTTATATTTTTTAGTGCTACATTAAAATTGCAGTCACCTTGGCGCACTCGTCGCCAGAAAATAATACAATTTATTTTGTTGATCAGTGAACATAAAACGTGAGGTTTTAATTGCTGCTGTAAAAAAAAAAATAATCAGGTCTTTATGCTTTGTGACAAGACTGATTCCGACAACAGCATACCCACGCACGAGCTCGCGTGCGCGCGCACACACACACACA